TAAGAATTTTCCACAGAACAATTTACATGCCAATCTAAAACTAGTTACGACTCCTGATGTGCTACATGCGAGTTCTAAAATGTTTCTTAGTTTCTGAAGCCTTAACTTTTAAGTCTGTGTGTGTATTGTCCTGAATAACTGGAACTCTGAATGCTTTTAGGATGAAGCTACAAAGTGGGAAAGCGTTGGAAAAGTATTCTTTTTATCTTTTGCTAGATCTCTAGCTCTCTTGTTGACTGCGTATTGTCTGTCAGTTTGCTGTCTTTTAAAGACCAGTGCACTGATACTTAAATTGTTCCAAACTGTTCTTTCTTTCTTTCTTTCTTTCTTCTTTTTTTTTTTTTTTTTAAGCAGAGGCAAGTTTTCCCGTCCTTGCTGTACATACCACTGTCCTTGGTAGAACCGTGTGCGTGCCTCTGCAAAGGCAGGGAGGGGATGGTGGAGAGTGATCTTTAAAAGTTTTTAAGTGATCCGGTGCAGTATAATAATTTCCAACTCTTCCTCCCTTAACATGCTTCCCAAAGACTGTCTGTACCAGAAACCAGGAACTGAGTTCCGTGTGTCTTGTGCCATGCTCAGCACCATCAGGGACTAATCCTGCTTACAGATGCCACTACATCACTAACAGAATATAGTTCATTATGTCAGATCTTCATTCCCTTAGATTTTTGAGAAGGGTGATGATTTGATTGAGGTGGATTTTTGGTTTTCTGCCATTCTCCAGGAGCCTAATTTAGCTTTTCCCAGCAATCTGGCCTCTTTATCCTGAAATCATAGTTACAAATCAGTTGACAGTGTTTCATCACACAATACCAACAATATCGAGGGATGGGAGTCAGTTGTGTTGAACTTATTTGGGGAGACCGAAGGAAATCCAAAAACCTGCAAATCAGGTTATGAAGTTCTCCCTTCAAAAATCCTAAAGGTGGTCGATGGTGATGAAAAAGTCTTATCCCTGACACAGCTCTGCAGTTTATGTGCAGTATCTTGGGGACTGGGGGCGGAGGGGGGAGGGAATGGAGGGAAGGATAGAGGAAGCCCTCGAAAGCACATTGGGGTGAAATAAAAAGGTTTCGTTTGACAGTGACAGACTAGGCACTGAAATTTCTTGGTTCTGAGAACAGATCTGCCCTGTGATGCACTGCATGGGTAGGACTCTGCAGAATAGAAAGCTGGCTTTTAATTTTTTTAGATTTTTTTTTTTTTTTTTTTTTACAGCCTGGCTGTAGTACTTCTGCAGTTGCCTGTTTTTTTGAAAGTGCTCCATAAGCTGTACTTTCCAGGGGAAGGGGACAGGAGGGCTGCCAAGAAGTAGTGCCGTGTGTCGCTACCTGATATTTCAGCAGTGAGCAGTTTGGGTGGTTTTGTGGGTGCTATCAGCCTCTGAAAGGGTCCTTCCTCTGTCCTAAGAAATAAATGGGTACTTAAACTGCAGCCTGTGAAAAGCTGGCTGACAGTAAACTGCAGGTATCCTTATTGCCAAATTAAGAGAGGGCTAAAAATATACGAGTGTGTATCTGAAAAGTGTAACTGCACTGGAGATCTTATGGGGACATTAAAGGGAAGAGAGATGGTCTGTGAGGTGATCTGCATTAAGGTGGCTCCTACAATACAGAAAAATGTAATACAATGTTCTGTTTTCAAAATTAAGTGATTTAATCCAGGGCATATGAAGAAAAGGGGACGTGCAAAGAATTTAGAGATAGGTGAAACACTTCTTGGAGGTCTGTTTTGTGCTTTGTTTTGTTTAGAACCTTTCTACACTTCAAAAAAAGCAGAACTTTATTTTTTTATAATGAAGCAGTAGTTTGGGGATTTTTTTTTTTAACTTTCATTAAAATAGAAGCAGCTGAATTGCAAGTAAAGTGAGAAAAGATGAGATCTATCAGAGGAGAAAAACATTCCTTCCCTCCAAAAACTGCTGCAGATTGAATCCCTAATCTGAAGATGCTGCCAGTGGGATGTCAGCACCACCTTCTCTCTCTGCCTCAGGAAAATAGACATGCAGGGGCTATTTCATGTGATGTCTGCCCTTTTCACTCCTCTCTACAAGGAGGGTTTGGGCTAACCAACATGAATGATAGTCCTCTGTCTGCTTTTCTCATGTAGCAAATGTCTCAAAAACTCTGCAGGCATATGTGCAAGATTGTGCAAGCTCTGGTATTGTTTGTAATGCAATAACCTCGTGTTTGCAGCATATACCTCAGGAATTACTAGGCTTGATTACTGCAATTTGCTCAGATATTCACTTGTTTAGCCTTGTTTCTGTGGTACCTTGTTCCCTTCAGACAGCGCAGGACAGTAGATCAGCCTGAATCAGAGACTGTCATTCTCTGCTCTCCAACCCGCATCCTTATCAGGCGACAAAATTTTTACATTAAGATTTTTTTCCTTTAAAGCCTTTAACTGTGTTAGGTCCTAGTTTATCCTGGTTTCCCTTGAGCTAAAGATTAAAGTCCTAGAACAGCCCTTCATGCCTCTGAACTTTTTTACTGAGTTCCAAGAAGTTGATACAAATTGTAGCTGATTTTATGCATTTGTCCTTTATGTGGCCAAAAAGAGGGGCTGGGGATGAGCCTGTTCTTGGCACTTAGTAAATGTTTATAGTCCACTGTGATATGCAACTTTACAGATAAAAGCTTTTTGACCAAGTGAAGGTATCAGAGTTCCAGCAGGACTTCTCTTTACAGTGTGGTATAGGTTCTGTACCAGAAATCTCAGATATTTTCACTGCTTTTCATAATTTTTTTTTGTAGCCATGCTATTTTGCTGCTTCATGTGTGTATGCTGGTTTCAGAGGAGTCAGTTGGCTGTTGAAACTACTGCAAAGGCTCAGCTTTTGTCTTATGATGCTTGCTGAAGGTGAGATACGCCTGTTTGTTCCCAGATCTGCTACAGACTTAGCATGGAGCCCTGTGCAGGTCGCTGGATCTCATCTTCCCCCTTGCAAACAAGAAACGAAATCTTACGAGTCTGTAAGTGATGTAGGAGCTAGGAGAGTAGCATTGATTGGGTAATAAGGGAAGGCAGCAGTGCCTTTTTTTCTATACTTACTGATAGAAAAGTACGGACCTTACACTTCTGTTACAAGGTTTAGATATTATGCAACAGTATTGTCATGGTACTTATGGTGCCCACTAAGAGAACTGTCTCCGTATAACTGAATGGCTACTTAAACAGATAAATATACTGCTCCAAAATGCATAATAGACTGTATTACAAAGAGAGGAGCAAAGCTGTTGTGTTCATGTGTCATGATAATTACTATTTCTAATTCAGTGATCAGCGAAACTTGGGAGTTCAGCCTGGTAACCCTGGAAAGTCACTTGACTGGCTCTGCAGTCACTGCATTCCATGTAAATTGAATGTATTCCATGTTCACATATGTGTACAGGTCTCTGGGACACCTCAGCCAGTGCAGCATTTAGCTTCTTGTCTTTTTAGTGCTAATATCCATAAAGGCACACTGTACCATTGCTTTGAGGTTTACACTCATTTTCCTGTTTTCCTTACAAAAACTTTTAAAAAAAAAACCAAACACAACAAACCAAGCAAAAACCCAAGCTCCAGCTTGTTCACGTTCTGTCACCCTGAGCCTGCCGGTCTATGGTGGTATGTTACAGCACCAACTGAGATCTGCTGATAGAAGCTGGGACTGTAAAGCTTTTTAATAGTAGGTAGTAGAGTATTCTTGATGAGGAGCTCTTGAATTTGCTTTTCTTTGTTACAAGGCTCTGACCTTTCCCAGTCTCTGCATAATAACAGGATGCTGAACCCTGAATTTTAGGGTAGGATCAGTTCTCTTTCTCTGGTGCATGTTTGTTGTCCAACGAAGCATCTGCAGGGCTATGATTTTGCTTATTCTAAGAAATTACTTTTAGACAATTGGTCTGAGTGTAATGGGATGGCAGTCTGTGCAATTAACCAAGAGAGTCCAGTCTGTAAGCACTTTGGGGCAGTGACCTACTTTCCCCATTGACTGTAAAACTCAGGGCAATCAGGCTTTTTATGGATCTCTGGAAGCTGGCTTTGGTGCTCCGTGTACCATCACCCAACCGTGTTCTACTTTTACCAGCTCCATCCCTTGAACAGTGGTTAAGACATTTGAATTATTATTATTTAAATGGCCTCTGCTATTATATCAAAAGGTATTTATACTTAATGGACACTACTGTACTGCTTGTCCTGAACTAGCTGTTGGCTAAAACTGGGACTGGGACTGTGGGGCAGAGGATTTTTTTTAACATTGGATGGGTTTGGTGGTGGTGTTGGTTTGGTTTTTTTATTTGTTTCTTTTTCCTTGTCAAACTAGCAACTCTCTGACCCTGTACAGATTATTTAAAATCAGATTTTTCAGAAGGGAGTTGCACTGCAGGTTGTAGCTCGAGATGCTGGTGCTGAAGTCTCTGGAAATTTGATTGCTTCATTCATGTGTCTAACAAATCTTAAAAAACAAACCATCCCCACAGCAGCACCAAAACATTTCTGTCGAATCTCCTTGAAACGCTGGCTTGGAGACTCTGATAGCTTCAGTCTTTTCTCCTTTAGAATCCAGAATGTTTTTATATTTTATAAAGATAGTGCAAATAGCTAAATCTATGTATTTGGACCTGTGTTTGCTATCATAGGTATGCTGTTTATTTAAATATTTGGTTGCTAAGTATTGGATATTTTGGGCAAAAGTGGATGACTCTTCAGCAAAACGGTTTCAATTTTTCATTTCAATTTTTTATTCCTGTTTCTTTTCAGCAGAACAACTAGGTAAATGAGGTGTTAAAGAGAAGCTGTGGAACTTAGAATGGTGGAAGCTTTTGCTTTCAAATTTATCTTAACGTAGTTTCTAGCTTGCTGTGGATTACCTAGTTTATTTCATCGTATCTACATGATCTCTGTTTCAATAAACTGGGTGTGGGGGGAGTGGCAAGGTGGAGGAAGAAAAAGGAGAGTCTTGCACTTGAGAGAATATCTGTTTTCAGTCTTCTCTTGTCTTGTTGTGTTTCAGGTATACAAATGCTCTCAGTCCAGCCAGACACCAAGCCGAAAGGTTGTGCTGGCTGCAACCGTAAGATCAAAGACCGGTATCTTCTAAAGGCCCTGGACAAATACTGGCATGAAGACTGCCTGAAATGTGCCTGCTGTGACTGTCGCCTGGGGGAGGTGGGCTCTACCTTGTACACCAAAGCCAACCTTATCCTTTGTCGCAGAGACTATCTGAGGTAGGCCACATCCTTCTTACGTTCCCTAACAATCTCGCTAAACCCGTTCAGCCCGGGGAGCTGGTGGCCTCCTCGGAGCACCGTGGTGGCCAGGTGTTACAGCCTGAAACCATGCCTGTGGTTTGCACCAGCTCCAGTGCAAGGCTGAGCTCTGGAAGCAAGGAGTGCCTCACTCATCTTCGCTTACCCACTTTTCTTCTCCTAGTTTGCCAAGGTATTTAATTTGTGGCACTGGAAGCTTTTATGAATGTTGCCATTTAGCTGTTTGAAGCGGGACAGCTATCTTCCGCAGGGTAAATAAACATGTAGCCAGTAGGCTCAGATCCACTCTGGCCCTGACTTAATCCAGTGACCAGTGGGACATGGGGTAACCTGTTGCCACTTCTCAGAGATAGCAAATTGTCACCCGATTTTCTGTTTTCTTATTTGCTTGTGAACTTGGGTTCTCAGAAGTACTTGAAGTGTAACTCAGTAAAGTACTAGTGAGGAGCACCAGGCTAGTTTATCTGCAGATTGTATGTGAATAAACAGGGCTACTTTCCAGGAGCTAAGTTTAATCAGGAACTTTATACTCCCTGGGGTCTCAATAGTAAATAGAGAGAAAAGGCTCCTCTGGGATGATTCAGAGCACCTGTTTCCTATCGGAGCACCTTTCCTCCATTCCCTGTAGAGGGGGCCTAATGAGACTAGCTGCTCCAGGCTAAGGTGAGCTTCTGGGAATATTTCCCCTGCCCCTGTAGTGAAACCTTTTTGTTTTAAAGGGACATTCAAGTCAGTAATACGCTGGAGAAGAATTAAAATTCTATTTCAATGTGTTAACTTACAAGTTCATTTTAAGCACAGATACCAAATAGGTTCCCACACACTTATGGGTTCCCAAGTTGTACAGCATGGGTAGGTTGGAACAGAAATAAAAGCTAAAGCTTTATTAAAAAGTGTTGGTACTCTGGATCCCCATGTTACGGCCTGTTTTATTCTGGAGTGGAACAAAAACCTTTGCAATTGTGTTCTGGGTTTTTTGAGCTGGGACTGCAAGGAGTGGCCTTGGACTAGTTGGTAAAAGTGCTCTCCCATCCGTTACAACTCTGAACTGGATGCAAGATAAAGTACTGGGAATTTATCATAAAGTCTGCATCTTAAAGCCATTGCGTTAAAGCTGCCAAAGAAGTAACAAAACCTTACTTTTAAAAGCTGGCAGGGAACCGTTTGAATAGAAGATAATTGTTCTACGTGAACCTAGGTCACTTGTGATCCTAAAGTGTGTGTCTGTAGAGAGGGATCAGAAACAGCTTCTAGAGGGAAGATAACATTTACCCTAATTTTTAAAATCCATTCTTAGAATCTTTGTACAAGTGCCTGTAGGAGTGAGAAAACTCTGGTATGGCTTTTTGGTCTGAGTTCTAAATTTACTGGAGACTCTGAACTTACTGAATTTCCCAAGTTCTAGTGCATCAGATCCAGTGTTTTATAGTCAAATGTTTAAAGTCAAACCCAAAAGTGATCTCGTAGTAGAGATATGAGCAAAGCATTTTCCCAGCTCAGATGTGCGTGCAGACACACACACAGTTGCTCTCTAGTCGTTGAAGGTCTAACAGGAGTAAATATTTTGCTAACAGATTCTTAAAATTCATATTAAGTGATTCAGAGAAAGGAGACTATTTTTTCATGTCATAACCACATTCAAAACTAGTCTTTCAGTTATTTGTTTGTACAAATTTGTTTGCACCAGTGAAACCAGCATGCATGAGAAATCCTACAATCACTTTTAAGATGTTTCTGATCTATGTCTCCAGGTTTATCAAGTCTTAATGAAGCTATCTTGTCATTAGCCTTTTTTTGGTGATTCTTGGGAATGCATAGACTTAAACTTGGTATTTACAGTAAACTTCAAACAGGTGCACTTAAGGTACTTGCAGATAGCCGTTTGCCTCATTGCGTCTTATCTACTTCGTTATGCAGCAAACCTACAAAAGTGATCCTTTTAATGCTAATGTGGAAACTAGCTAAATGTTCTCTAGCTCTGTAGTCAAATAAGTTTTCATATTTAGCAACCCACTTGATCTGAATTTAAAGAACAAATTACTTTCTACTAATGATTAGATTAGGGTTCGATTACAGTTTAAAACTATCCTTTTTTTTTTTTCTTTTTAATCAAAAAGGGAGTTTTTGCTACATATAAAATTTCTAGCTTCCTATTAATTTACGTGGTGCCCTCTAGAGGATATGTGGCTTGCTTGATACTGTAAAGAGTAAAATTGTTTATTAACTTGTCTCCCTGTGTTCATTATGTCTCTCAATAAGACAGCCATTCTACAGATGCTATAAGCCATACTGTAGCCAGTTTAGGTGCTTTAACGTTCCGGGTTAAATCTGCAATCTGTGTGATTGTGTCCTTGGCTATTTGCAAAGGTACTGCCAGTATCTATCACTTAGAGATGCCTGCCAAAAAAATAAACCACTCCCTCAACCCGCTTATGTTCCGCATTTGAGCCCTGACGTATTTATTTTATAAATACTCTGCTATCTTCAGAACTTCAAAATTTGCTTTATTTTGCTCTCTCTTTTGGTAAAATTAGTTAATTTTCTCTATTAAAACTTCTCTAAACTGGGGAGAGCTGACTGGATGGAAGAAGTCTTTAATGGGGTAGTGAGTTTCGAAGTTGCTTTAGGTGTGAGAGGTTTTACCCTGGAATCATGTAAGGCACTCCAGTGGTTGCAGAGGTGGCGTATGACACCAAGGGCATTAGGGTGGCCACCGAAGGAATGAACTCTGTTTTGCTAATGAGGATGAGAACAGACTTGAGTAAAGAAAGGACTCAATGTTAGGAATAACATACCCAGTGAAAATGATATGCAGAGTATAATTCCCCTGCAGGCTTCTGTCTCCTGCTTATACACTCTTGAGTTAGAAAATGAAGACTTAATTTAAGGAACTTAGGTTTACGCCACTATTTCAAGTCCATTTACAGTAAATGAAATATGCAAGAAGGTTTGGTGGTGGTTTTTTTTTTCCCTTTTTCTTTTTCCCTCCAGAGCTGTACGGTGACATCTTAATGTATCAGTCTATGCTGCTCTGTCCTCTCCTGACTGGCAATGTGTCCATTTGCGAGCACGATATTCCCTTTGAAATCTGTCATTACTGCCATTAATGACCAGTCGTTATGTTAACAGCCCAAGGGCTGTTAGCATGCCAAACTGGTTGTTAACTAGAATGTTATTACTTACTTAAACTGTGAATATGAGTTGTGTGAAATGTGCTTTGGTTCTGTGTTCTGGGCTGCTTCTTCTCAAAACAACAGGGAAACAGCAGAGCGTTTGCCTTTGGGGTGCCAAGGGATTTGCTCTCTGTTCCATCTGCTCATTTGATTTCTGCATATTTGTGAGGTCCTCCTACCCCTGGGCAGCCTCTTAATTTCAGGTGCAGCTATATCCAATCCTGTCTCTTAGCCTTGTGTGCAAATGGGCAGTCACAGATACTTCCACATGCACAGTAATGCCTGCCACACATTTGAGATTAATATCTGGCCCCTAGAAGTGTAAAATGAAAGACCAACAATTACATGTAACTCAGTTGTATTAAATAATGAGCTTCCTCGGATGCAGCAAAAATATGAAAGTACAGCTGTGCTAAGCTAGTAGCAATGTAGGTCAATCACCCTTTTCACTTAGGTTTTTAACTACGCAAACCCTGCTGAGCGACCAATGACTACAAAGTGCTGTTTCATTCCTATTTAATTTTGGCAGCATTTTACTGAAGAGCAGGCATTCAGGCAGCTAAATTATCTTCACCGTTTCTGGTTTTAACTCCAGCTCCATGACACTAAATGTTGGAGTGCATATCTCTTAGTAAACACAAAGAATAAGGTTTCTGATTTAGTTTTTTTTTTTTTTTTCAAATCAATCTCTTAACATGGAAATTGAATTAGAACTTTTATTATTTTTTTGCATAATTTCCCTAGCCAGGCAAACATATCATACAAAAAGGATTAAAAAAACTATTATATTGGGGTGGAATTTTTGTGCTTAAAGTCTAGAACCTTATTGGGGGTGCAGGTGCCAGAAAAGTCTACACCCTCACATGTCTGCCCCCCCCCCCACTGCCCAACCTTGGTGTTGATTTTGCTCGTAAACTTACTGCAGACTTTAAAAGTACCACTGGATAGGTATGAAAAGTAGATCAGATTCCTGAAGAAAGGAGCACATCATGTTAGGTTTTTTCTTCCCCTCTTGCTCTGGTTCAAAGCCAAAGAAAGTTTTTAAAATACATATATTGGATGAGATATTGTAAATAATGAGATGTGACTGCAGAAAGTAAAGTGTTGAACCACAAGCATCATAAAGATGCTGCCTCTGTAAAATATTTAGCTTGTGGAAGGATGCAGACTGAGGAGAGTAGAGTTTAGAAAGCAGTCTTTTCCTGTACAATTGCTCACGCTTTAAAGGCAATTATTATTTTTAAAAATTGTGTAGGAGTCATTAGAGAGACTTAAAATGTCTTGTGACCTGATACTGATTAGGAAATCCCAGTTCTCTCTTATGTCATGGAAAGAGCACATTAAGTATTGCAGACACCTACGTTATCAGCTCTCTTAAATGCATGTGTAAATACTCTAGATGGATATTTTCAGAGGTAGCGGGCTTTAAGGGGTTTTCAAAATGACCCCTCGGTATGACTCTTGCCCAGCTTGGTTAGATGAGGGTAGATCTTAAGCACTCTGATTTTTCAGGAATACTGAGGTATTCACAGAAGTGAGGCATAAGAGAGCTCTGCTTTCTTCATTAAAGCTTTGTAGAAGTGAACCCTTCTTTTTACACTAATATCCTTGTTGCAGTGCATTGAAGTATTAAAGGAGTACTAATTTGCAGGAATGGGCCTGAAGTATATTTTAAAGTAAACATAAAAATAGTGGGTGTAACGATTTGCTTGTACTAATTTTGCTGTGTAAGGGAGATGAATGTTTGCCTAAATTTATATTAATTATATCACTTATCATATCTTA